TGCGTGTCTGTGTCCAATCGAGTCAAGGACACAGGATGGGGGTGGCTGATCTTCCAGAATCCACATTATACACTTCATATAGGTAGTAAGCAGTGCTGGGTGATGTTAAATGCTCTTAGAATTTTCATAGAATTATAGTGTGAATAGACTGATATGCTGAGAATATATATGAATATACGGTGAATTCAAATTCGACGTGTTTTGGTTTCAGATTATCTATTATATTGTTTTATATGAGAAAATAGGAGGAGGCAAGGGAGGCAGTGGCTTCTCAAAATATTGGATAAGAAAAAAAATTATAGTACAAAAATAAAACACCAATATTACAAAATATAACAATAAAAGGTGTATAAATCACTTTTTTTTCTAAAGAAACATTTCCCAACAGCGACACCAGCAGATAAAGTTACAGAGGTAATCCGCATCTCTCTCACCTCTGAATTTTAACAGACCGCATAAAGTGTGTGGTAAGTTTACTGGGGGGTATTTGAGAATGAATGGGGGAAAGTCACGTGAGAGGAGGCAATGCCTCATTCGCGATATGATTGGATATGACTGGTTATGTTCAGCTGTGATTGGGTCATGCCATAAATCCCACCTCTTGTGTTCATGCGTGTCCCACATTCACGAATCAGTCTGAATGAACGATATAATGTTGTTAATGGGAAGACTAATTGAAAAAAGTAGGTAAACAGCTCACACTTAGATATAACCACTTTGTTACGTCAAAAAAAAAAAAAAAAAAGACTTAAGATGGCATGAAAACATGATCTGTGGGAGTTTTTGGTGAATAATCAGCTTGGTGAAATTTAAAGTAAATCTCAGTGTCTGCAACCAATATTTACCGAGCATTGATGACCCGAATAAATAGTTAAATGTTAACTATTAAAAATAATAGCTGAACATAAGTTCACAAATACAGTGCCCTCCACTAATATCGGCACCCTTGGTAAATATGAGCAAAGGCGGCTGTGAAAATGAATCCGCATCGTTGACCTTTTTGATCTTTCATTCAAATAATTCACCAAAATTCTAAGATTCATTGAAGTAAAAAATTTGAAAGTGGGGAGAAAATCTCATGATGAAATGTTTTTCTCCAATGCATGTTGGCTACAATTATTGGCACCCCTAGACATTCTTATGAGTAAAATATCTCTGAAGTATATTCCCATTCATATTTAAATTTTTTAGCACCAGGGTGACTAGGAGCATGAAATTGTCCAGCCATGACTTCCTGTTCCACAGGATTATAAATATGAGGAGCACAAAGGCCAAATTTCCTTAATCATCCATCAAAAGGAGTAAAACCAAACAATATAGTTCCGATGTGCAGAACGAGATTGTTGAGCTTCATAAAATAGAAAGTGGTTGTAAGAAAAGAGCTAAAGCATCGAAAATCCCCATTTCCACCATCAGGGCAATAATTAAGACGTTCCAATCAAATAAAAATGTTACAAATCTGCCTGGAAGAGGACGTGTGTCTACAGGTGCATCTCAATAAATTAGAATGTCATGGAAAAGTTCATTTATTTCAGTAATTCAACTCAAATTGTGAAACTTGTGTATTAAATAAATTCAATGCACACAGACTGAAGTAATTTTAATTTTAAAATTGTGATTTTAATTGTGATGATTTTGGCTCACATTTAACAAAAACCCACCAATTCACTATCTCAACAAATTAGAATACTTCATAAGACCAAATGAACTTTTCCACATTCTAATTTATTGAGATGCACCTGTATAACGTCCTAATACACGGTGAGGAGGAGTGTTTGAGTGGCCAAAGACTCTCCAAGGACCACAGCTGGAGAACTGCAGTTTAGTTGAGTCTTGGAGTCAGAAAGCCTAAAAAAAAAGATCAAACAGCCCCTACATCACCACATGTTGTTCGGGAGGGTTTCAAGAAAAACTATGCTCTCTCATCCAAAAACAAACTCCAGTATATTCAGCTGTCAAACACGACTGGAACTTCAAATGGCACACCATGATGATCAGATGTTCTCCAAACATTTCAGGCATTATAGGAGAAAACTCAGAGCTGTTATCTTGGGGAAAAGACGTTGCAATAATTGGGTGCCAATAACTGTGGCCAACGTGAACTAGAGAAAGCATTTATTTCACAATGAGATTTACCCCCTACATTCAATTGCCTTACTTCAATGATAGGTTAGAATTTTGTGAATTTTTTGAATGAAAGAGGAGTCAGACTCAAGGTGCAGTGAGGCCAAGTTTAGCTGAAATTAAGCCAGGTTCAGCCTAAAAACACAGTATGAATAACAATTCTCCACTGAGAGTCCTTTTAGTCCAGGCTTAGGCTTGATCTGTGTGCAAGTAAAGCAGACCTAACGTATGGGGAACAGGGACTGTTGTGAGAAGGAAGATCCCACTGACAGCAGCCCTCGCTGACTCCGTGGTAAAACCAATACTAACCAGTATGTGACCATATAAAAAGAAAATACCCACAACCACCCACAAACGCAGACCTGAAAGAGAGCATGTTCACAGTTATTTCATCCGACATTCTCCATCAACGACTCTCCCGAAAAATATTGATTAATACACACACACACACATATATACACATACATATACATATATATATATATATATACACACACACATATACATGTATATATATATATATATATATATATAGGTTTCTAGATATTTATTCAGCAGCAAGAATGAAGAGATGACAGACATGATAAAGACACAAAAAGTTAAATGAAAATGTCGCTTCACATGACACACAATCATCAAAAACGTCTCAACAGGAAAGTGTTCGCTAACAAAATCCCACAGTTTGCCTTCAGTTGTCACGTTAAACGCTCTAAATGAATCAACTGTCTGTATTAATAAAAAATGTCATGGAAACATGCGACTGATTGTATTTTCGTGGACAGACTAATTTACGTTCTGCTGAGCGGCAGGCGCTCAACACACCCGTATTTCTGAGACCGTTTTCGCTGAACTGAAATGCAAATTGGAGGCTTTGTTCCCAAACAGTTCTTAATGACAACAACAAAGAGTTTATTTGGGAGGGAACCACTTTGGTAAGTTAAGAAAACACCCTACAGTTAACGTACTACAAAATATCATCACCACCACCACCAAATGTAAGACTACCATGTTAGTTGCACTGTATTTCTACAGTGGGATTGACTTTCACATTAACTGCTGAGGACCACATTGCTGTGAGTCAACTGCCCAGTAATATTTAGGTAGATGGTTTGGATTATCAGGTTTCTTACTCCAGCATCAGGTTTGTATTGTACAATAAAGACAAGGTTATATGGCCACGGAAAGATCCTGCGTGCATGGTTTTAATAGTCTGTTAATTTGGAACAGAGTACGTGAGGTAATTTGTTAGAGAGGTATGTCTTACTCTAAATATGAAAAACTAAATTTTTACGACATGCCGGATGCAATTCCTAAGATTCTTTAATCTGATGCTTTATTTTTATCCCAAAATTCCTGCTGCTATAAAATGAACATTAACCAGTTTAATTCATGCAAAGCGGAACGACCTCCAGAAAAGTAGAAAAATTAGCACCATCTGAGGTAAGTGACACAGATTAGACAACCCATGCCTGCTGTAGCACCATCAATGGGATAAAAATTGAATTACTGCAAGGAAACACCATCTACTGCCACAGAAACATTAACACAGTTAAGGGAGTAAAATACGACATCTGAAATGATTCTATACCATACAGACTGATATATATCTCTGAACGAGGTACGAGGGTGGCGAGACTGTCTTAGGAACACAGACGATGAGCAGCAATGAGGTAGGACTGTGACTCTACATGCTTATTTTCAGACTAATAATAACCTGAACTTGTGTTTTATCAAAAATACATTTCTTTCACTAGCAGAGCTGAGAATATTGGTTGTTAAATAAGACTGACTCTGAGTAGGGTCCTTTATTGTAATCGTGAGCATGAAAAAAGTGTGAGCGCAACAGGAAGTTGCCGTTCTTGCTATAGCGGAATACTGGGCAGTTTTGGGAATTGCTGTGGCATGCGGGCGGGTCCTCAGCATTTGATTGACAATCTCAGAATGTAGGTTAGTGAAACAGGCCAAAGCAATACTAACTATTTTTTCCCCCAAGAACATCCGCATATTACTTTTTTTGGCATCATAAAGGAACAAAAAAAACAAAAACAAATGATTTAAGATTTTTTCAAATTGAACAATACAGCCATATCCATTATCTAAAGCTTAATGCTCTTTTGATACAAAACAGAAAACAACATAAATCAGACAACGGAGATAGGAAAAATATATTCCGGCTGTTACTTTCCTGTTGGTTTAGCTTAGATAACTGTGGACAACCTTAGCAGGGCCCGTTTTTGTGCAAGTTCATATTCATAAGACTGATCACAAACGGTCCGTTGCTGAGAATTTGGCTTATTTTTAACAGAACGACACGAACACAAATTCAGATTGGACTAAACTCATTTGACATGACAAAACGTCTCCTGGACAATACGCCGAGAACAAAATGTTGATCCCTCACGTGCTTTGCACCGGACTTGCCATTTTCCAGAAGCACAGACCAGCTCAAAGCTAAGCACTGCGATTACACAACCACTGAAAGCATAGGCACCAGCCTGACCACAGTCTCCCAGAAGAGAAAAACACAGCCTCCGCGAGGCTACTGCTTCGCTTTTGTAGCCTTTTAGCCTATAAATACTGTACATGATTGTATTTAAAAGTCGGATTTTCCCTGATGGGATTCACGGGTTTGATCTCACAACTGAAGAAACTTTTAATTTTTAATTTTCCTCGGCTCTTAATGCCGCCGTGCCCAAATTTAGTCTCGGCGCAGCTGCGAGGCAAAAAAAAAAAGAAAGAAAGAAATCATAAGAGCAATACATAACGCTGTAGTCTTTTTCAAGGCAACGATTCCCCTAGCAAATCTCCAGATAAAAAGTATGACCACATGGACCGATGATAAAGTTTGGCTGTCATTCAACCTCTGCCACCTAAAGCTGTCATTTTCCAGTATACCCGCACAGTATGTACGCTCATTATGGAACATCAAATATTCATTAAGTGTGGCAATACATATCACACAATACAGGAAATATCTACAGAAAAAAAGAAGAAGAGAAAGACATTCAGTGGAACAAAAGAACCTTAGTACAATCTGTTCTCTCCCGTAATTACCTTGACATATTGGAGGTACGTCGCTGTAAGAAAGAAAAAAGGAATCGCTTTCACAGGCTCGAGAGAATGAGAAACAAATGGCTGCTAAACTGCTACTGAGTGGCAGAAAACTGAGAGCTGATTTATGATTTCTCGTGAACGTCTTTTCACAAGCATTGTTAAATGTTTATGTTGACTTCTTTTTTTTTTTTTTAATTGGCTTGGGTAAATCACAACAAAGAAGCCAACATTGATGGATTTTTATACGTTTTTTTTTCCTCCTTAGGATTAAAGTGCTACGTTGTCGAAGATGGACAATGACTTCCTCGGAACGGAAAGGCAGGCGATGGAAATGACTCCAAATGAAATGATAGTCCGTAACAAATGACTCACAGTGAGGTGAAATTCATAAATTGAAGTTCTTGAAGCATCAAGATACCTGCGGTAAAAAATCCATGATAGTATCAATTTAAGATATGGGTTTCTGTCATTAGAGATGATGTATTCGTGAAGAGCCCTGCATTCTTTGAGAAATATGAGTACCCAGGATCTACATTAATAGCGAAACGTCACATATACACTGTAATGATTAGAAACTATATAAGAACCAGCAAAGATAAAGACAGAATTACAACATTGTCTGACTCGCTTTTGAACCAGAAGCTTAGTGAGATAAGGTGCAGCCTGGATGCAAACGATGCAATGTTCAAAAACATGAGAATATATTCCAAATATACACTGAAATTTTCTCCCCACTAATAAATGTACTTGATTAAAACAACAAAATAAAACAAATATGAGAAAATAAAAAATAGGGAGGCTTTTGCGTGGCAGATCTGTGATCTGTTAATTCACAGTAAGCGATATGGCATCACAGTCAAGAACCCAAATCTGCAAGAGGGTCTTCTTTCTATCGTTATGCCGACAAGCCAGTGCCACACAGACTGTTTGTGATGACAAAGGACTAAAGTGTGGATGGCATGGCTCATTGTAAGTTGTCACGATATCTTATTTCCTCCCCTAATGAGTGCGCCCTCTACAGGTGGGCTGGAGCAGAGACCCTGCTGTTGGTGCGACCAGAAGGATGAGGCTAATGTGTAACTCCCGAGCACTGCTGACAGTTTTACCCCACGTCTGCACACGGCGCCTGGCATCTCTCCACACTAACAGCAAAGTGCAGTTAAAGCAATATCAGCTCATATTACAATCACAGCTTGCTATAAAACGGAGAACACAGTTCCCAATGATTGCCAGTTGGAAAAAGGCCTAGCTCAGATTTCCACTTACCCTCCGTCCCGTGCAATTTACGGCTGGTAAAAGGTCTTAGGTGGTCTCCATCTCTGTAGACCCGACAATACAATAACTCCTGTCCCATGGCTAGTCCATCAAGTATACTGAAATCAAATTGGATGTGCTCTTGTTGTTTACAAGAATCTTATTTTATACTTTACGTAATTTTTACTGCATTGTTATCAACTCTGGTGCTTTTGTACACAACAAGACATCTGCAATAATAAGAATTCAAAAAATATGGCATTAAATACTCTCTTCAGAGTTGAATCAGATGAAATGTAAAGAGAAATCTGAATTACTGGTGGGTATTTCTTCAGGCCCCAAATTTTACTAAAATTAATTCGTTTTGTTAGAATATACACTGCTATTCAAAGGCCGATAAGATTTTTTTTTTTAAAGAAATTAATACTTATTAATACTATTAATACTTATTAATACTATTATTTAAAATACTTATATTTCATTATTCATCAATGAATTCTGAAAAAAAAGTATCAAAGTTTTCACAAAAATATTAAGTGCCACAATTGTTATTAATATTGTTAACAGTAAAAACTGTTTCTTGAGCATCAAATCATCATATTAGAATGATTTCTGAATGATCATGTGACACTGAAGACTGCAGTAATGGCAGAAGAAAATTCAACTTTGCCATCACAGGAATTAATGACATTTTAAAAAGTATTAAAAAAAACAAACACTTATTTCAAATTTGTAATAATATTTCAGAAATTTACTGTTTTTTTCTTTCAAAAACATAAAAAAAAATCTTACCGACCCCAAACTTTTGAACAGCAGTGTAAATGACTTGAAAACACGTCATCGTAATTACAGCTTTTAAACCACAGGAACTTCCCAACAGGACTTGAAGGCAGTATACAGCCTAAAACAAACATAAGAAGTCTACTGATGATGGTAAAAATCTAAATGTAACTTTTAAGAATGATTTGTTCACCTTTTTGTGGCTTATCTCCAAACACACGCTGCTATGACTACATGCGACCTCTCCACCCCTAACAACCATCAAGAACAACAACAGACCATCAGTAGTCATCTCAGGAAAGCAATTAAGCCTAGATTGATTAATTAAATCAATCGTTCATTAAGACGACGCAGGGTGTGACCCTGTTTAAAAGTGCAACTCTTTATGTTAAGTACCTTTAGCAGATGGTCCCTGTGAAGTGACCTACCTCCCCTTAAGACTCCGACTCTAAGCCAGCATTTATGACACCTCGCAAACATCCTCCTGAAACAAGAAGACTTCTTCTGAAGGGAAACCTCTTTAGTACATTAGGACATGTTCTGACACAGAACACAAGCTGATGTGCCAAACACATTTTTCTCGCACACGATTTAAAGGATCGCTCCTGTCTATCAGGCATAATATCCGACCCACCCCGAGATCCCCCGTCAAAGCTTAAAAAACCCCACCCCATTCACTCACAGAATGCACACCAGTATGCTAAGTCTGTGCGGAGAGAGGTAAAATTGTCAGACAGGCTGTAAAACAGGGTCTACGAGACTAGGGTCTACGAGAGTAAGAGACAGAGAGGTCTTGGGAGGGCATCAGTGGAAATCTCAATTGGCAGCGCCGGTGATTACATGCACCTTCTCCACCAGAAGTCCTTGAGGAGTAGAATGACCTATGGTGACAACTTCAGCGCCCCCTACAGACCGTCGTAGGGGAAGTTCTCCATCTTCACCGTCTGCTGGATGAGAAGCTTGGACTCTCGCCGTTCCTCGTTCTTGATAGATTTGTTGATATCCATGATCTTTTCGCAGATGTATTTGTTCACTTTGGATAATCGCTGGGTGATCTCTGCACTGTCAGCTGTTTCTTGAGACACACGGTCGTACAGACACTCTGGAATGAAATAGTAGTAGACTAGAAATTAGCAAAGAAAACAGAAAAAAATGCCTTGTAATTTGATGTTTTTTTCCCATACATTTTACAAATATTTAAGTTTAACTTCTTTAAATGAAGTTAAGTACGATATTAGTTGTTTCTATGAAATTGTTTTGGAAGCTAAAATTTGTTCTACAATAAAAATTCTCCAAACTTGTATCAGCAGAACTAGAAATATAACCCCAACCTAATTTTAATAACAAATCTTTTTAAAGACAGTGTGCTTACCTCGAACAATTTTGAGCTTGCTCGGTGAAAGCGGTGGTTTGGGCAGGGCGTCTTTCTTCTTCTTCGTAGCAACGCCAGTCACGCTGCGGTTCTTCAGGGTTTCTGTGCCCCAGATCATCACCGCCAGGTTTTTGGTGAATTTTGAGTCTCCCTGTGTCCGTTGTAGCTGGTGCCACTTCTCCTCCTCCACCCAAATCCCTCCACCCAAGTGCACCTGCAAGAGACAGACTCTTCTTCAAATATGCAGCATACACACACTGTCACTGACAAGATTTTGCTTTCACATTCTGCCACTTCAGTGCCATGTGGTCTATTCCCCGAAGTGTGTCTGAGACATGGTAGCTTTCCCTTCACAATGAATTAAACCGCTCTGTTTATGGAGGATGAAATGCAAGATTCTATGTGATTCAGATGTAAGCTTGTTTGTGTTGCATGTAGTACAGTTGTGCTCCTAAGTTTACATAAACCTTGCTGATCCTGAAAAAAAAAATCAAAATCATATAAAATAGTTGTTTTTATTTAGTACTGCCCTGAGCACCTACCTACCTATCTGCAGACAGACAGACAGACAGACAGATAGACAGATAGATAGATAGATACTTGAGGAGGGCGCAAGTAATATAAACCATCAGGTGGCCATCAGCAATCAGGTGGATTGATGGGCAGCTGGTGAGTAACAGCTGAGGTAATGTGCCTTCTGCTTTGTCACCCTGAGCAGTTGTCAGGCTCGGATCCAGTGGCTTTTCCCCAATGCAACTAATGTGCTTTAGGCCCTGGTCCAGCAGACAAGCTTTCACTGCTCTTAACTTAGAGGAGATTTGCTTTTCTACGGCTACCTGTCACTCAGGGCAATTCCTGTGGTACAAATAATTAATGCCGGATATGTGTGCGTATGTGTAAGGGCCTAATTTGCTTTTGTTCTTCACGCTTGAACTGAGAACCCTTTCAGCATGTAACACAAATTCCCCCCTGTCATGCGAGGCAGTAGGAGGAACGCAAAATGCGGACCCAATGTCTGCTAACAGGGCTCAAAATCACAGCAAGCGTTTTGGTTAAAAGGCCCTTTGAGACTGATGGGGGGATGGCTGTAGAAGGGATTTCGGTAGTCAATTAGACAAACCATACACCACTACAAAACATTAAAAGAAACACTGAATTGCGCTAACACGAGGAGCATCGGCAAAATCACTGAATTGTGTTGTTTATACAACAGTTAAACGAGTAGTTGGAATACTGTCTGCATTGAACTAATGACCGAAGTCAAGTCACATTTCTTCCATGAATAATGTTTGAATATATCCAATAAAACTCAAGATGACCATAACTTTGGAAGGTTTCATCACAATCGACATGCTGTTATTTAATAAATATATTGAATGAGGTGTTAGATATACATAATATATACTACCGTTCAAAAGTTTGGGGTTAGTAAGATGTTGAAAACACTTGTGCTGCTTAATATTTATGGTGATACCGTGAACATTTTTTCAGAATTTTTTATGTAAAAGAACAGCTGAAACAGAAATCTTTTGTAAGATTTCGTAAAAGTTGTAACGGTCACTTTTGATCAACTTAACGCATCTTTGGTGAATAAAAGGTATTATTATTTCTTTAAAAAATGACCAAAAAAGTACCAACTTTTAAACGGTAGTGTATATATATTTTAAATATGTGGCTTTTCTTCTAAAAAGGCTAGAATAAAGTAAGACTGGGTGTCATGAATTTTTGGGATGTTTGAAAAAGACAGTAAAAACACACACAGGACTACATACTTTTCCATCATTGAAGGTGTAGACGGTTCTCGGGGATGGGGAGTGGGTGGAGCTAGTGTTGGCTTCCTCTTGACACACCTCCTGTGGTTCACTGATCGGCTCCACCACCTCTGCTTTGATTGTCTGTGTGCCATTGTCATGCATCGGCTCTGTATGAAGCAAAGCAAAACACTGCTCACCATTCAGTGAAGCACAATTTAACAGGAGAAAGATGAGTGTAATCCTGAGAAAGTGTTGACGGCAGAAGTTCCCTGCTCTCTAATGACAGTTTTGAATTCAGTCCAGTGTGGCCGCAGTAAGTCCTGGCCCGCTCCCTTTGGAGTGCTGCCTGAAACATGGTTCTCCCGTGCCTCAAGACAACCAGGTCATTTTAGCTCAGTAAGCTGGCTTGGTGGCTGGCTACACTAAGCTCTAATGTATCTGTTGAGTTTTAATATCGGTCAGTGCACTGCACGTCTGACCCTAAAGAACCCTGGCCGGTCTAATCTTCAGCCTGCTCCACCAGCTTGCTCCAGACCACAGTCTGTTCCCCCCCAAACACACACACACACACACACAGGCGCAGCAGCTGGCCGGGATACTGGCCTGAGCGCTCTGGACACTATGTCCTCTTTAAGCAGCCTGTACTGTAGTCTTCATCTGAGTGAATTATCAGTCCCTGCAGCTCAGAACTATGTGGAAAATGTAATAACATTAAAAATGTTAAATTATTAGGGCTGCCAAATTAACATGCTAACTTAGTACAATTAATTAAAGAGATTCTGAAAAAAAAAAACAATGGTAAAAGATTGCCTTAGAAATAGTGCAAAAGGACGCCAAAAACACGTTTTGTAGACTGCTAAATGGATTGCTGTGGACTGCAGGATGAAAGACTTATATTTAATAATATAAAATGACAATATAATACAATATATTGACTTTTAAAGCCACTTTTTGTAAAGTCTGTTCAATGTTTTCAGCTGCAATAATATAATGACTGTGAATTATCTTCATTTGGAGGCTTTTCTCAGCAAATATTGATGCGTGCGATTAATTTGATTAATTAATAACATAATTACATGACATAATTAATTGCTTGATATGCAGAATATTAAGTAAGTACTTGCTATGCTAAATAATTATCAAATTAATCAAATGATGAACATTTTAATTGACTGGCAGCCCTAAAAATGACAAAAGAGCACATTTAAATTGCTGTCTGAACATGCAGTAAGTCCTTGATCTTCACTGAATTGGACACTAAATACGTCACTTACTATTGCCTACTTAAAGTTTTAAGTGAAAAAAATAGAAAAAAAGCTCTATGAATCCTTAAAAAATGCTAACAAGCTAAATTGGGTTGTAAAGCAAAATGGATAATTCTGACATTAAATTCTGTTTGGATGAGCCATGTTTGAAGCAGTTACAATATAAAGTGATACTAATTAGAAAATCAATGTCAAAGCCTTTTAAGCACAAATTTACAATACAGATAAATTTCAAGGTTTAGGTTTTAATCAAAACAATGAATTTCTACGATTCAGCGAACAAATCAAAATTCTGCATTAGATCTGTTCAACGAGTTTGGTGCAAATATTTTACATTTGCACACTGTTTCATGTATCAGCATTGGGGTGAACAGGCCTTTAGTTTGTCAAGTGTGCCAATACGTATGATTCATGCAAATCTCACCGCTGCCAAGCCTCATGAGCAGGACGTCCTGTAGGCGTCGATTGAAATCACGCAGCTCCTTGACTTCGGTCAGCAGACTGCCGTACTCCTTGAGCTTCTTGGCCTGCTGCAGCAGCTGCCTGCGTGTGCGCTCCAGTTCCTGTTGCAGGCGTCTCATTTCCTCTTCCTGCTGCCTGTAGCTGTGCACCAGCTCCTCATACAGGACGCGAGGCACCACGGCCTCGTCCTGCTCTTCCTCTTCCTCTGTTGTGAGTCTGTCCAGCTCCTCTCCCTCAGTGCAGGAGTTGACAGCGTTCCTCTCCAGCCGTGCCACCACAGCAGCCAGGCTCTTTGAGGAGTTGGAACTGGCCCTCTGCTGTTCCTGTGACTGGACCTGCATAACAACATTCAGCATCTTGACCAGTGCACATTGCGTACAAGTAAATAATAATATACTATTTTTGTTTTTGGATATCTATCTACCTTTCTCCAGAGATTTTTTATTTTCTTTTCGCACACCTAATGAGAATTGTTCAGTTCACAAAGATCCACATAGATTTAAAGAGCTCATTTCATAACTTAAGTAATCTAAATTTCCTTGATCTTTTCAATTTACTGAAAATGAACAGCAAAGACTGTGATGTCACATGAATGCATGGACACATGACTCTCCAAACAGCTTCTCGCTTGTAGCTCATCGTTTTTTGTTTTAATGTGCGTGTATATATCTTTTTAAATGTATTACTATAGATTATAAATAAATAATCTACTCCACATTCCCCAGTGGTTTAAAATGTTAACGTTGAGTGATGAGGTTAAACTTTGATGTTTAGATCAAATCTGTTTCTACTATCCAAACTTGTAGGGCCAAACTTGAACTTTAGTACACAAAATCCTACTCATATGCTTGCATTCACATGGGTATGAATGGAGGAACACAACATCTCGTGTGACTTTCCTTTTATAGCATGGTTGGAAGAAAACTGTTGGAAGAAAATAGAACTCGAAAAGCTGGACTGCTTTATAATGATCAAAAAGTATCAATACACATGATAATACCTACTGATTTTATTGTATAAAATTAAAACTAATAAAACTGATAACTAAAAAAAATCCCTTATGGGCCAAAACATTGCTATCCTTTTAAGATTTAATAAATGTCACTGCTCAGTTCTGTGCTGAACCAGCTCATATGTTCTGTGAAATGAATACTAACCAACTCAGTTTATATTAAACACACTAAGTAATTAGGGTGTGAACTGCAAGAGCACACAAAAGTGAGTTATAAACTTTAACGGACTGTACAATTAAGAAGACATGGCATTAAAAAAAAAACACAACAAGCCCATGAGTGAAACACATGGCCTTTCTGGTATCTAGCTAAAACTGCCAGATTAAACAAAACAGGCTTGAAACGTTTGAAATGTCAGGACAAATTGCGTAAGCGTCAAAACATGTTCTAGTATTTTGTCTTGCTTTGCTTGCGGACTATAAAATACACTCTTAATATCAGTAAAAAATCCCTGTTGAGCCATTCTTGATCTGTCCACATGTTCCCCATCTACAAATCCAGACCAGTAGCAGCAAGCCTGCAAATGTCTTACAGTCTCCCAAATCTTAAAACCTTTCTTAAGAACATGTATGCCGACCTTTTTATGTCTAAGGGGCACTCTCTCCTCGCCAAAATGATTCTCCACTGTGTTCCTGTTCGACATCTTGGGTATTTTCATCTTCTTTTGCATAATACTGTGCTCAAATTCCTCAATGCTTTCTAAAAAAAAAAAGAGGAGGGGAAACAAGTCAGAGACGCAAATATTTCAACTCTTTGCTCTGGAATGATGATACAGTTAAAACAAGGACACATCAGCAAGAGAAACATTTTATGAGTTTGGTGGAGAAGCTTCCCAGTAACCTTGTAATGACACAGATGACTAGCTATTGTTGCAATAAACTATTAATGGAGCGTTTAACTTTGCAGAGTGATGTTGACTGTGCAGCATCAATATGATTTTGACAGGCAGGGTCGTCACAGCTGTCAACGGGTGATGCAGTGTCAAGTACCCAAGGCCACTTGGAGAAGACGGACCATATAAATGTGCCTACCTAACCCCTTATCATGTCAAGTGGAAAATGCCCTCAATCATCATTCTAAGATCTTGAATGTTAACTATGTATTAAAAGTTCTACATTGGCCAGGTATGAGAGATGAGCCTCAAGGTCGGCCACAACAGATTGCAGACTGCTTAAGTTAAAGCAACTATTTAAAAGCTGTACTGGACTCCAGACTTCTGTTCCCTAAAGAGATCAGGGTTGTAAGACCAGGCTGAGCCACACATGTAGATTAGTAATGTATCTAAATAGACCTGGTTGAAGAGTGGCAGGAGTGAAAGTGGTTAGAGGTTTTTATAACTTGAGCTGAAGCAGGAAGTGTCACATGATAGCAGATGTGCCACCAGCACTGATTTAAACCACACATAATACTCTGACAAGTTATAATTTAACAGTATAATATGCTGACGTAAGGTTTCAAGCAAACTGAAGGGCGTAAAAATAAAAACGACAAAATATGCCTTACCTGGCTAGCTAATGTGATGACAGTAACCTAGCTGCTAGAGCTAAAAACTACAAACGTACACTTTTTGGTTATCATATCTGCTTTTCAGCATCTTTATTAGTTTAAAAAGACTGTTACAGTGGTTTTATTCGCGTTTACGCTCTTGTGCACCGCCGATAAATGAAGGAAGCGTTAGCAGCAGGCTAACAATCGCTTAGCATCCTGAGCCTCTCTCTGCTTTAAACCCCTTATCTTTCGTTTCTACTTTCACGAACTTATTCAGACGTTTTCGACACGCGTTTCCTTTAGTTTATATTCAGATTGCTGGGCTTGTCAAGCACAGACACTATTACATCTCTCTGTAACACAAACCCCGCAATCACTATGAGCTAAAAACACCAGAACAATCAAGAAGACATCAAACCTATGACATATTCTCCGTCTACATCCATTTATCACATCAAACACTCAGGTTATATCATTAATCTTCTCTTAACACCCCAATGCATGCGTGTTAAAGCATGCTCATGCAGCTCGTCAAATTAAAATAATAATTTGTGTGGTAACTTCATATTACGCCATAAATATAATATAATGCTTCACAGATTATGTTTCATGCTCATGCAAATAAGAAAATATGATTTATATCAAAGTTGCATGACATTTCAGATGATCCGTTAAGCTGTTATATACCGTAGCGTTCTGTTATTTATGGAGGCTATTATTATAACGTTAGTTAATAAGAAGAGAAGAGCAGAACTCACCTGCCAAGGCGAGGATGTGTGCTTTGGCAGGCTGGCCTGCGCCTCTCAGCACCACATACACCTTCTGATCATCAAAATCTCTTTTGTGCACAGGCTGGAAATCTTTCACGTCTGACACAGGTAACGCGTAGCACATATCGTCCTCCAAGAAACGCACGAAAGCGTACATTATTTTTGCTCTTTGGGACAGGGCTTGACAGTTTCCCTCAAAAAGGATATTAAAAAACACATATAAACACAAACACGGGGGAGACAGTGGGGAGGCCTCTGCGATCGACTGCTTCTGTCTGGCTGGTGCGTATCAGTTGAGGAAATGCAGAGCCTGGTCGCCACAGACTGTACTAATCAAAACAGATGTGACGAGAGGTTTATTTTGGGGGTTAAAATGTAGTTTGCCCTTACTTATAAAAATAAATAAATAAATAAATAGTAATAGAAAAATATTAATAATGTCAATAATCATTGCAGTTATAGTATAAAACAGGATAGTATATCATCATCACCATTAATAATAATAATTAATTTTTCTATAATATGATACATTTAAACTCCAGAGGGAGTTTCATAATTATTATAATACAAATATGTAAATAAAAGTTCAGTTGTTGTTGTTATTGTTGTAAAAGTCTGTTAAATTTCTAAAAAGTAATGACTGGTAACAAACAGGTTTCCAATATCAAGTTACTTTACAGACAAATTTATCAGATTTAATGACTAGAGCTGTTATATAATTGTACATTTATCAAAGTGTAGTGCTCCCAGAATCCTTTGTGTTGCGGCAAATTGCTTAAAGAGACTTCTAAACAGCTGAGTGTTTCTTTGTTTATTTTCAATACACGCCCTCTAGCGGCGAAAGTGACATATTGTGCCTTTAAATCACCCTGGCGACCCATTTTTGACCCAGGGTTCGAAAACCTAGGCTGTATAGTTAGGTCCATGCAGAAACTTGTGAACGATGTTCTTATAGTTGTGTCATCACCGTTTAGAGACGTCATTGAATGTTCCGGGAAAACTTGTTGTATTGTCGGTGTCGGTCAATACAGTGTCGGCGCCTTTTAACTTCTGATTTGGATCCGGCAATGTTTCATTTACAAATTAAGCACTGACAGAAGTATAATGCTGACCATATTTAATAGTATTTTGAACCATGCCATACACTTTGAATACAATATTTATTTATTTATTTGTGGGAGCAATTGTTATTGGATGTTATAATAGATATTAAATTGCCACTTGCTATTAAAAGCATGTTTCAAAACAGACCCGATCCAAGTCCATTCTAAGAAATTTGATTCGGTCCAGCAGACCCAACATGGAATTACTGTGGGATGAATGCTCCCATTGTTGCAGCTATTTGATTTGCACTGGAGATTCATCACAGTGTTTTGTATGTGGTCTATAATGTGGAACATCAACATAAGTGTAAGGATCACAAGTCAAGGATGAAAAAGGCCCATGCCTGACTGCTGGCACACTGTGGTTTTCCATCTCTGGGTATCCAGTGCTGCATCTCCGTTAATGCATTTTCAATATCTCTCATATCCCTCTTATACGGCATAAGAAAAAATCTTTCAGGCAGCCAATCATTACCATAATCGATTCATTCACCCATTACTTTTGCTCTGCACCAATGGTCTCAGCTGAATGCTGTGAGGGAAGAGGTATTCTTCAGGATAACACCCGACTGTATCAGTGCATGCTGTTTTGCTATCCCTGCCATTCTCTGTTCCTTGTTTCTCTCCAAATGACAAAGGCTATCTGACAGAGAAGAAACATTTTGTTATTGTTAAACAGGCAGGTTGTTATACAAAAGGACGGATTTCTTCACTAGTACTTTAATAACAAGAAAGGCACAGTCAATAAATGGCACTAACAATTCGTTCTGCTTCGCCTGCCGTAATTGAAAAGTAAGTGATGCAGAACTTTGGATGCTTTGCCCTTTCTTCTTTTTTCTCTCCATTTATTTCCTTTCATTTTATGTTACTGTTTGAGTCAGATCTGCCATCAAGTCCTGTGCTGAAAGTGCAGAGATGAGGCTTGCTCCAGGGATAAGACGTGTGCTTACGGTACTGGAGATGAGGACAGACTGCAGGATCTGTGAGGCCAACAGACAGAATGTACTTTGTGTCCATCTATACTGCTAAACGCCACATATGCAAAATGACAGATTGTGTCATGAGCTATACGAACAGTAAAAGGAACATCTCAGTCTCAGTGAATGGCTCTGGGCTGGACTGGGGCCCGTGACGTGTTGCTGGGCAGAGTGGTGTAACTGATGCACTGTGAGTGGACTCTGCAGAGATGGGCTCAGCGCGCAGCGAAAGGATTATTCTTAATCTAATCTACCCCTCAATGGTTGGCTTGTCCTGTACTCAGAGACCACTCCAATAAGACTACCCAGATCCCCTGGCTGATGCGTTCAAGTGGCTCCAGTTCAGGACAGAATGTATCAAATGTGAAATTTGCAACTGAATTCCAAGCTGTTGTGAGCAACTTTCCAGCAAACAGGTCTGGAATTTTATTTGAAGCGATAGTTCGCCCAAAAATGAAGTCTGTCACTCATTTTCATCTCTTCCAAACTTGAATGACTTTCTTTTTTCTGTGAAATACAAAAGAATTCTGAAGAATGTTTCAACAGTTTGTTCATACAATGTTGACTTTCATTGTATAAATCAAGACTTTTTTTTTCAGAATATCGTCTTTTGCAGAAGACAGATTTGGAGTAAGGAGAGTTGAGTAAGTGGAGACATGAGAGACAGAATTTTATTTTTTTTGGGTAAACGATTGCTTTAACATGAACCCTTATGTTATGAGGTTGATTTGAAATAGTAACTTACATTTGAAAAGATACAAAATAGCTTTGCATGTGACCTAGTCCATGTGACCTTAGCATTATAAATTGAAACACAGTGAATGGAAAAGTGGAAAAAAATAACATTTTAGTGCATCCCTTAAAAACAGACCAGATGTTAGAATTCAGAGAAGAAAAACTAGAAAGAGATTCATGTAAGTACAGTATGGTCCAGTGGAATAATTCACTGAATATTGTGTGTTAAATCAGCTTTGTCATAACCGCACTGTCATTTTTTACACTTTCGCAAAGGAAAAAGTCTATAATAGCAGAAGATGATACTAAAGGCCATGGGTTCGATTTCCAGGAAACTGATTAAAAATAAATCACATTACAATGTTTTTATGATGGATAAAACTAAGGCATGACAGAAAATTTGTCAAAGGGACTGATAATGATTATTTGTAGTGGCTCACAGTGTTCTCCTCATCATTTCCTGTTCCCGTGCATTTCATATCGTTCTTATAAATAAAAAATAACACACAGAGGAAAACGAAAGCTAAATATGTCATCAAGACTTTCAATACACAGACCAGGCCAAGAGCTGATGGGAGACAATCAAGTCATTTTGAATTTTAGCACACGAGCAAAACCTCTCACGCAAAACTCATGAAAACAGATCAAATAACACCACGGCTTCGCCCGGCGCTCTCTCGCGCGCAGTTATCAAACAATGAGCACTTGCACTAAGTGTCTGCTCCCCCTCCACCTCTAAACACACACTTAGACTGGTGATGGCACCTCATAAACTGTTTGGCAGTGTCGACATTATCAGCGGCTCAGAGTCAGACATCATGTCCCTCCAATTAGAGCTTCACAGCTCCCCTCATTCATCTTTATTGGTGATACATTAGCCACCATTAAATAAAAGACATGGGATAATCTCCATAATGATGTGGATGATGAAGCCGAGTGTCGGAGAGGGAGGTAGGAGCCCTGTGACTAGAATAGGAAAGAGGGTGGGTGTTGGGTGAGATGATGGCGGTGGGCATGTTTTGGGTCGGTGCCCGGGAGAGGATGAGGATGGTGATGAAGGTGAGGAGGGATGGACATGAGGAGCTGTGACAGCAGCATTAGCTGGGAACACATTAGCCATTAGCACGCAGCCAATCAAAACAGCGCACCTGTGCCAGTCATGGAGACGGACAGACGCTTGTCCAGGTGCGCGTGTACGCGAGCGTCGGCGCTGGCTGGCTAAGTATAGAACCAGACGGCAAGCTCCAAACCTGCCGTTTTTGCCAGAATCTGTGAAGCACAGCGGGGGACAGCAGGGATCGTTTAGAGAACATTAGAAATATGGTTTAAAATAACGGCTCCCGCATGTTCGGGGAAAAAAGATGCCGCATTTGGTTTTGGAGAAAGTTGGTGGCGGTGGCGTCTTCTATTGACCGGCGACTTACAAGGCAATGATCTCTTCTTGTTTAATTGAACTGCCCTTACTTGCGTTACTTTATTTTGTCCTTTAATTAGTGCCTCATGAATAATTGATTAGCCGTGAAGTCATCAGTCGGGCAATAAAAAAAGTAATAGCGCGTGAAATGAACAGTAGCCCTGAAACGGAGCTCTGTGCGGCACTGCCCTGAGACAGACTTCAAAACTGACAGGTCGAGCAGACGCAAACTATATTGTACAACCACTCCTCAATCCCTTCATCAAATATTTACAGGGGTATCATTGCCAGCACGGTGTTCCGCTGCGCATTCTCCTAGTGGCGGCAGGGGGGACATTGATCTTCCTTTTAAAGAACAAACGAGAGCTTCAGAGATGTTTCTTATACTTTGGCCCTGTTCGGTGTGCTTCATCTGGATTTCTCTGGGGGCGTACGCTATCGATCCGGCCAGGTCAAGAATCTGCATCGCCTCCCAAACCTCCAAATATGATCTCTGGGCTGCATTAATATGAAAGACTAGAATGCGCTTTTCCCCTTCGTCCTGGATAATGTCAGACTCGCGCTGCACGGACACTTCATTTGTCCTCATTGTGTGCAGTCGATAAACTGTGAATATTTGATTGCTTGGAGCTGATTACTGGATCCATCTGTGTGATAAAGACACATCAGAAAGAAGTCATAAAGGGTTCACTGGCAAAGATGACCATATATAATCATTATGCTTTTGTCAAATAGATATAGATTGCCAGATTGGAATCTGAGATCTGAAACTGGTAGCATTCAATATTTATATAGAGCAAAATTACATAAAAGGGGTGAAAATAAAAGTTAAAAAAGTTGTCTACAGTAAAATGCTAAATGAAGAAATGTATAGCTACATCTACGGTCTCTGTGAAGGAAGTCTACAGTTTCATGAGATTTTTTCCCCCCCTCAAAGACACTTGCTAAAAAGTGGTATATAATTATGTAAAATCTACTTGACTCTGCAACATAATATTGAATTAAGTAGCTTAAATCTAATTTAAAATCTTAATTAATCTTAGTCTTAAGTAAAACTTCTACTTCCAAATCTGATGTAAGTAGC